GATTAGTCTTATAGAATAACAGAGAAAAGTGTAGTTCGATAATGGGATTAGTCTTATAGAATAACAGAGAAAAGTGTAGTTCGATAATGGGATTAGTCTTATAGAATAACAGAGAAAAGTGTAGTTTCATAATGGGATTAGTCTTATAGGATAACAGAGACAAGTGTAGTTCGATAATGGGATTAGTCTTATAGAATCATAGAGACAAGTGTAGTTCGATAATGGGATTAGTCTTATAGAATAACAGGGACAAGTGTAGTTCGATAATGAATATTACTTTTGATAGAGAGTTAAAATTTTGTGTCTAAGATTAGGGTCTTTATATATACAAGTACAATAAAAAATTAAATTGTATAAAGACAAGTAGGTATCGGTATATACGTAACTCAGCTATAGTGATATAGAAAGTTTTAATGCTACAAAAGTATTGAAACGAAAAAGTCAAAACTACAAAACTGAGTTACTTTAAATTTAAAAATATTTATCTCTCCTTTTTCAAATCACTGTAATTATGTTAGTCTGAGTCAAAATAGGAATAAAAAGTTTTAAATTTAAATTTAAGATTTTCCCTTTAAAAATAAAATGAAACATTTTTCCTTTAACATCTGTAAATTCTATTGAAACATTAGCTTTGAAGACTTCGAGCCAAGGCTAGATAACAACTCCAGTAACAAAGGGAACTAAAGTCAAGATGTTTAGCGAGTCAGTGGAAAGGACAAGCATCTCAAGTAGTTGTTGAAACATCTAAGGAATTCAGATGTAACATTAATTCACAAGTAACTCTACTCTGGTATGTGTGAATTCATCATATTTTGTAACGATAAAAATAACAGAAATGCAAAGAAGAATTATTTTTTTCTTTCGAAATTGGTCGTATAATGATCGCTTCCGGTGAGGGTTATTTAATATCTATTTTAAATATGTATAAAAGAAATTGTGAGTTTGATAATTGAACTCTAGTGATTTTAAAACCTACGTAGTAATAAAATAATTTTGATGCAAAGCTCAGTTAAGCTGGATTTTTATTTCTTTATAAATCTTATAAATCACAAGTTTGACTATAAAACAACATAGTACAATAGTATGTTCTGTCTATTTTGTTCTATCTATTTCCTACACTATAAAACAATACAGTACAATAGTATGCTCTGAATATTTCCTACACTATAAAACAATACAATATAATAGTATGTTCTGTCTATTTCCTATACTATAAAACAATAGAGTATAATAGTATGTTCTGAATATTTCCTACACTATAAAACAATACAATATAATAGTATGTTCTATTTATTTCCTACACTATAAAACAATACACTATACAATAGTATGTTCTGTCTATTTCCTACACTATAAAACAATACAGTATAATAGTATGTTCTATCTATTTCCTATACTATAAAACAATACAATATAATAGTATGTTCTATCTATTTCCTACACTATAAAACAATACAGTATAATAGTATGTTCTATCTATTTCCTACACTATAAAACAATACAGTA